TTGGTGTGCAGCAAACAAAAACAAAAGAAAAAGAAGTTCAAAGGAAATCAAAGCTCCTACATCAAACAAAGGAGTGCAAAAAAAAGATCAAAAGGAAGAAAGAAAAATTTCCAGCATAAAGAAAGTCAAAGCCAAGGAAAATGCATTACCATTTCAAGACAACTAAGGAGGCATATCTACACCGAGGAAGATAACCTTATTGTGTCTTGTGAAAAGGTGCAGTAAGTGTTGTTCTTGGGTTGTAAGTCACCTATTCTTTCTTTTCTTTCCTTCCTTTTCTTAAACCATTCATTTCTTTTCAGTTTCTTTTCCTTCAACCATTTCTTTATCTTTCCATTTATTCTTTTCCTTTCTATACTAACCTACATTGCAGCCGACGCATACAAGAGATAAAGTACTTGTTCTAATCTTGAGTTAGTTCTTAAGAGGACCTAACAAGAGAGATAAAGTAGAAAAGGTATTCTGAGTGAGTGAGATCAGAAGAGGAATCGTTAAAAGCCAAAATATATTCTCGAGCGTAAACACTAATGTTGAGTTGAGTGATCTCTTATCTTTTCTTTGGAGTGAAGATTGTGAGGCTTTGTGAGTGTGCTGGTAAGGTTTACTTTATTTTACTACTAAACATGTCTCAAAGTCCTTCTAGAGAAAATGCAGGTCAACCAAACATGCAAATGCAAGCATTAATTGGTGAAATGATGTGAATGTTTCATGAAGAGTTTGATGTACTTCATGAAAATATGGATCAACGTCGAGATCTACCACAAGTTCGAAACAATGATACCCCCTAGGTGAAAACAACCTCTCCAAGAATATGACATTTTAGATAACTATGATGGAGTAGAACAAGCAATGTTACAGGACCCAGGCGTAGCAATGTTGATGACAACATGAGTAACATCAAGATCAAAATTCCTCAATTCCAAGGGAAAACTGATCCCGAAGCCTATCTTGAATGTGAAAGTAATGTGGAACATGTTTTTATTTGCCAACACTATTTCGAACTAAAGAAAGTAAAATTGGCAGCCATGGAGTTCATAGATTATTCTTTGATATGGTGAGATCAGCTTACTCTTAACAGAATGAGGAATGGAGAAAGATATATTTCAACTTAGCATGAAATAAAAGATATAATGCGAAAATGTTTCATTCATGTTCATTATCACCGAGATTTGTATCAGAAACTGTAAAATATTAAACAATGCCAACGAAGTGTGGAAGATTACTATAAGGAGATGGAAGTGGCAATGATTCGGGTCAACATTGAGGAGGATCGTGAAGCAACCATGGCTAGATTTTTTACCGGACTTAATCCAGAAATTGTCAACACTTTGGAGTTATACCACTACATTGAAATAGATGAAATGGAGCAAATGATGATGAAGATAGAAAGTAAACTACAGAGAAGACCTACATCTCGTAATGTTATGCCTACACCTTCAAAATAGAGTCAAAACAACTTGAAGAAATCTACTCCTACTCCTAGCAAAGAACAGGCCAAATCTTCCAAGGCTCAGCAAGTGAACAAAGACAACTGAGGAAAGAAAACAACTGAACATTCAAGGGATATTCGGTGCTTTAAATATCTTGGTAGAGGGCATGCCTATACAAAATGTCCCAACAGTAACACAATGCTTTTACTTGGAAATGGCGATATTGAGTCCGAGCCTGAAGAAGAAGAAGAAGAAACACAAGCAGATGCCAATGAAGAAGCAGAAATTGAGGCTCCCGTTAAAGGAGAAATTCTGGTGGTTAAAATAAGTTTGAGTACACAAGTGACGGAGGACAATGCAATATGAGAAAATATCTTTTATACCCGATGACATGTGAATGACAAGGTATGTTTCATGATCATAAATGGCGGAAGTTGTACCAACATAAAAAGCACAATCATGGTGGAAAAGCTTGGATTAAAAACAATTAAGCATCTGAGTCCATATAAGCTACAATAGCTCAACGAACGAGGAGAACTCAACGTTAACAAACAAGTGATAGTTTATTTTTCAATTGAAAAATACAAGGAAGAGGTTATTTGTGATGTCATTCGTATGCATGCTAGCCATTTACTTCTTGGGAGGCCATGGCAATATGACAAAAGGACTATCCATGATTGTTTCACCAACCAATACTCGTTCAACCATGAAGGAAATAAAATTTTCCATACACCTTTGACGCCGAGACAAGTTCAGAGTGATCAACTCAAAATGAAACAAAGCGTTGAGGCCATGAGAAAAGGGAAATCGTCATCAAGAATGGAGGAAAATATTCAAAAAAAACAAGTGCTTATTCATCTAAGTGCTTGATACGAGAGTGCTTATTGTCTAGACGCAATATTGAAGATGATTATTCTAACTTTGAAAATGCAAAATATTCTTTGATTTGTAGGATGTTAAAAGAGACACAACATGTCTTCAACAGACAATGATCTTTGGCCATCCATTAAATACAAACAGGAAATACATTTTCATTTATTTATGTTTAATCATGTTTTTACTTATGAAAGTTTTCTTCTTTTTTAGGTCATGGACATTCAAAGTACTTATTCAAAGGAGATGTCTTATGAAAAGAATATTTCACAAAGGTATTTGTTGGTATGTTACTATCCAAAGAACGGCCTTTAAAGAGATATCTTTTCAAAATGAAATGTCTTGAACAAGTTACCATTGGGAAAATAACTTTTGGAAGCAAAACATCATCTATTGGATGGAAGGACACTAAGAAGAAGCAACCTTTCGATTTGAGGACAAATCGCTTAAAAGAAGGGGGATGATGTGAAGGGGATGATGTGAATCGATTCAACATCATATTTATCCTTGGATCTCCAGTATTTCATAAGATTCAAGGGCGAACTTTCTCTAACTTATTATTTTCCTACACTATGATTATGATACATGATTCATATTTCATTTGTTATAACATAGATATATTCATCTATATATATTACATCTATAGCTATGATGATAATAATTCACTCATTATTATGTGATGCATAAGTTATCATTATAACCTATAGTCCACATCTTTATAATATGCACATCATTATTACTTTATAATAATTCATATACTTAACTTAATTTCTATGTTTTTGAATATAGGTATATTCGGCCACACCTAAGGGAGCTGATTTGAGCTAAATGGTGAAAGCTATAGCAAGGAAACTCATTTAGGGAGACTCAAGAGAGCATAAAGAACATTTGGTGAAAAGTTGTCCGGGAACAAGTGAGCTCATAGCTGGGTTGAGCTGAAGATTCGAGCTAGAAGATTACTTCAATTCAGTTAGGGAGTTGTACCATCATCACCACCACTCAGAATACTTCAAATATGGGTTAAGTCAAATTTTTAGAAATTGTACATTTTCTCGAAGAGGTGTATTTCTAAGAGGTGTATTTCCAAGAGGTGACTTTTCACAAGGAGCTGCCATTACACTCACCATGTTGCAACTCATCTATGGCCAGCTCACCTCCACCTTAGAACTAGCTTAAACATGAAAGGTTGACTTCCAACAGTTATGACCTTTCATGAATGTTGTTGTCCATGAAGATGCCATTTCATCAAGGTGCACGTTGGTGAAGAGATTTCATCAAATGGTGTCCTAAATCATGAAGAGATATGAGGCAAGCATCGTGATCATTCGGCCAGCCCCCACATGCCATGCACATGAAGATTTTGGTGCCAACTTGAACCAACATGTCACCATTCAGCCAAGGGAGATGTATCTTCATTCTAGCCGAATCATCATGTCTCCTTTGAATAGTTAGCTGAGCCATCACCATGCCAAGGGACTTATTCTTTTAATTGAAGCATTATGTACAATCATGTACTTAGCCGAATCATTAGGTGCCTATTCAGCCAAGCCATCTCATTTTCTATAAATTGAGAGGTTGCAATCATTTGTACTCATCTCATTCATATTATAAAACAACTTCTTTGTGAGTTAATCTCTCTTCCAAGTTCTTTAAAAACTTTATTGATTAAGCAAGTATATTTCTATACTTGTGGTGTCATCCTTTCCATCTTGATTCTTATAATTCCTAAATTTCATATCTAGTGGGATTAAGACACCATTACCATCCCTCAAGCAAGTTTGTGAAGATCGGGGTTGTGCTCTTTAGCATAGCTTCTTCTTTGGCATGTTTGAGATACAACTTCATCACCATTCGGCCAAGAGAGATGTATCTTCATTCTAGCTGAATCATCGTGTCTCATTTGAAGAGTTAGTCGAACCATCTTCATGCCAAGGGACTTATTCTTTTAATTGAAGCATTATGTACATGATTGTACTTAGCCGAATCATTAGGTGCCTATTCGGCCAAGCCCTCTCATTTCCTATAAATTGAGAGGCTGCCATCATTTATACTCATCTCATTCATATTATAAAACAACTTCTTTGTGAGTTAATCTCTCTTTCAATTTCTTTAAGAACTTTATCGATTAAGCAAGTATATTTATATACTTGTGGCGTCATCATTTCCATCTTGATTCTTATAAACATATATTTCATATCTAGTGGGTTTAAGACACCATTACAATCCTTCAAGCAAGTTTGTGAAGACCGGGGTTGTGCTCTTTAACATAGCTTCTTCTTTGGCGTATTTGAGATACAACTTCATCACCATCATCCATTAAACTTCAACACCATCATCCATCTTCCATTGAAGACCACCAACAACATCATCTTCAACATAATTCCGCAACTAACTCTTTCTTTCTTTTTATTCATTTTATATCATTTATTTACCTATCCATTCCATTATAACCTTACTAATCATTTTTCTTATCTTTCTTTGTTGTAGCCATACTTACAATTCAAGGACATTACTTTTGTCATTCCTAGATCGAAACAACAATAAGGATATATATTCACTTCGTTTGAAGGATGTAATTCCTCTTATATCAAAACTTATTAAGGAATTAGTTTAGTCTAAAATAAAAATTGGAGAACCATTTATATAAGAACACGTGTTAGAATGTACACCTAGGGGCGGTGAATACGGGTGGATCAGGATGGATGATGTTTTGCACAAAGCAATTCACTATTTGTCTTGAAAGAAACACAAAGCTATTCACTAGTTCGTCAATAATCGCTCCAAAGATCTCAAAGTCAACATAAAAGCTAGAACCATCAGCAATGGAGATTTTCTTTCCAAACTCTGTAATTGGAATGGCGGGGATCTTCGCCTTTTTGCTCTTTAGCTACACGTTATTTAGAGCAGTTGTTAATCCAAAAAGCTCGAACACGAAGATGAAACCACCGGAAATCGCCGGTGGAAGGCCGTTTCTCGGCCACCTCCACCTGTTAGGAGGGTCAAAGCCAGCGCACATCACGTTTGGTAACTTCGCCGACGAATACGGACCCGTCTTCACCGTCAGGCTAGGCGTGCACCCAACGCTAATTGTAAGCAGTTCGGAAGTCGCTAAAGAGTGCTTCACCACCAACGATAAGGCCTTCGCTAGTCGTCCGAGAACTTTAGCGGCGGAGCTTTTGGGGTTCAACTTCGCCATGTTTGGGTTCAGCCCTTACGGCCCTTACTGGCGTCACATTCGCAAGATAGCGACGCTCGAGATACTGTCGAACAGCCGATTGGAGAAGCTCAAACACGTAAGAGAATCGGAAGCCAAGGAATCAATCAAACGGCTCTACGAGTTAGTAACCAGCGGCGGTTCGAAACAGGTGGTCGTGAATATGATGAGATGGTTCTGGACTGTCAACATAAACACGGTTTTTAAGATAGTTATCGGGAAGAGATACTCGGAGGTTGAAAATTCACACGAGGAAGAGGAGAACGAACAGCGGAGGAAAGCGGTGAGGGATTTCTTCGCATTGACGGGGACGTTCACGGTGGCGGACTCGCTGCCGTTCTTGCGGTGGTTGGATCTGGGCGGACACGAGAAGGCCATGAAGAAGACGGTGAAGAAACTGGACCAAATTCTGGAGGAATGTTTGGTGGAACATAAACGGAAGAGAAATTCAGGCAAACCGGCCGGCGAACACGATGAATTCATGGGCATAATGCTGTCGCTTCTTGAAGATGCCGGAAAACTCCCTTCTTACGATGCTGATACAATCAACAAAGCTACCTGTCTGGTTAGTTCCACCTTTACCCTACATCCAGTCTGAAATTTAATTTTTTTTAAATATATTAAATAAAAAAAATCATAATCTCATTCAAACGAAGAAAGTTAGCTATTGAATTAGTTGAGTAAATCAAACTTTAAAATGTCTTACTAAACAGATTTTCCAATTAGTGATGAGTTTGTTAATTTAAGGGGAAAAAATTTAGATAATTATTGATGGACTAAGGGAGGTGAGAGGTTGACTGTTTATTAAAATTTTATAAAATTTATTTATAAAAAACTTATAATATGAATTATTAAATATAAAATTCATTTTTTAATATATAATTTTACACTTGTCTTTACATACAGACATACTAGTAATATATGAATATGACTGAATTGGTTTTATTCAATCATACAATGATACGTAGAAATTAACATTGCAACTGTCGGGTAATTCTGGTTTACGTTAATCTAATATAAGATTAAGTAAATATGTTATTAAAAATGTTAATATTTTTTAATATTTTTGGTAGAGTATTACGTAAAATGTTTTTTTTATCGAAAATGTTAATTTCACTACTTAAAATGAATATTTTTTATATTAATATTTTCGGTAGAAAAATAATATTTTCGGTAAAAAATAATATTTTAGAAACATTCGATATTAATATTTTTCGATAGAAAAAATAATATTTTAAGTAATATTCTATCAAAAATATTAAAAAATATATTTATATTTTAGTAATATTGATAGGGCTGCGTACATTACGCAAAGATATGACGTTTGACTTTTAAGAGGTGTTTGGATCAAAGAATGTGAGATTTTTATAGGAATGGAATTTATATTTTTATGTTTGGTTGGCCAGAAATCTCATTCTCGGTAATGTTTTATTATCAAATATCAATAGTAGATTTTTTGGGTATATTACCGATAATGTCATTACCTCTATTTCCTTATGTATTGTTGGATTACCGGCGTTTTGGATTAAAATGCCCTTAATTTTTTTTAAAAAAAATATCATTCTTCTGTCATTGAATAATAAAAATTTTACGAATATTAAATTATAAATTTATCCTTAAAATATTTTAGATTTACAAAAAATATCTATAATTAAAATTTTATATGAAGTTCAGGGGTTAAAATAAAATTTTACATTTTCATTAAATCTTTTTATATTTTTAATTTTGTAAAAAATATATATATAAATTTTATGAATTTAAATTTTTTTAAAAAAATAAATAAATATTTTCTAACTTGTTAAAAAAATAAATATATAATAAGGACAATTTGGTCAAATATACATTTTAATAATATCTTATTCTTTTAACCAAATATGGTAATATTACATTCATACTAAATCAATCAAACACAAAATATATTATTCTCAGTAATTCAATTCTTTGGTAATTTAATATTCTATCTGATAATCTTATATTCCGTAAACTAAACGCTAACGGTTTTACTACACGCACCACGAAAATTCATTTGTCTTACTAAATCTAGTGGTTCCTAATGCTCTAATAATGAACTAAAAATAATAATGGTGCCTCATGCACTGAAGATAGAATTATTATTATTATTTTCCAAAAAGGAAGATTGAGTGTGACATATAAATGTATTAAATAATTTTAATAATTAATTTGAGTATTAATTTTTTAGAGATTTATAATTAAAATATTTATATTTATAGGATATGTATATTATTATGATTAAAAAGATTAAATATATATTATTTTATAATTATTTTAGATTATTAAAAAATTAAGTTTGATATTTTTTGTATAAGGATGATCTAGTTCGGTTCAATTCAACTTTTCAATAAAAGATGAATCAAACAATACTTCCCGGTTTTTTATTCGGTTCGATTTGTGAGTTTTTAATTATTCATTATTTTTTAAATTCAGCAACTAAATAAAGAAAACTTAAATTGAGTGCAAATATATAAGTTTAGATTCATAAAAATATTATTATTTTTAAAATTTTATTTATTTAAGTCTATCTTACGATAAATTTAAAATAAATTTATTTTGAAATAATTATTTTTTCTTTTTTAAATTTAATATGATTTGAAATAAATGATTTTATGTATGGTTTGACAGAAGTCGAATAATATTAGGGTCCATTTATTTCAATAAAAATAGATTTAAATTTTTTTTATAAAATAAATTATATTTGTTAAAAAATATCTTATAGTGTTAAAATAATATTGTATAAATTATTTTCTTATCAACTTACTTATCAACTAATTTCTTTCAAATATTTATTTTACATTATTTATTTATTTTTATTATGCATGCGATAAAATATAATATTTATAAGGTGTATGCGAGTTTTACTATTTTGGGCCATCGATACTTTTTACAGGCAATAATTTTGGGTGGAACGGACACGACAACAGTGACGATAACGTGGGCCCTATCGTTACTGCTAAACCATCGGGATATCTTGAGAAAAGCCCAACAAGAGTTGGATACTTTCGTTGGTAAAGACAGGCTAGTGCAAGAATCCGACATGAAGAATCTACAGTATCTCCAAGCCATTGTCAAAGAAACAACCCGATTATACCCCGCCGCCCCCCTCTCCGTTCCGCATGAATCCGTTGAAGACTGCACCACCGCCGGGTACTTTATCCCGGCAGGCACACGACTTCTTGTAAACATTTCGAAGCTTCAACGAGATCCTAACCTATGGCCCGATCCCGATGAGTTTCGACCCGAAAGGTTTCTTACGACACACAAGCACGTGGATGTGAGGGGACAGAACTTTGAGTTTATTCCGTTCGGTAGCGGTCGGAGAGTTTGCCCCGGAATCTCATTTGCGCTTCAAGTTTTGAATATCAACCTTGCTGCTTTGCTGCAGTCGTTTGACATTACGACGCCACATGATGAGGCGGTTGACATGCGTGAGGGTGCCGGTTTGACTAATCTCAAAGCTACGCCACTTAACGTCGTTTTCACACCTCGTCTTCCTCCTCATCTCTATGAATAAACTACGATGCCGGTTGACATGCATGACGGTGTCGGTTTGATTGATCTTAAAGCTACGCCACTTTATGTCGTTTTCACACCTCGTCTTCCTCCTCATCTGTATGAAATACATATATATAGTTGTTTGTGGTATCGTTTTTACTAGTTTGAACACGGACAATCTGTATGCACTCTATTTATGTTTATTTAAGTTAAAAATTATATTTATTACAGTGATATTATTTTTAAGGTTGTGAGATTATTGTTGCATCGAAGAAACAATTCTTGCTTATTTTGGCTCCACTTTTACACTATTTCACCAAAAATTATTTTTTAAAGATCTTTTTAACTTGATGCTTTAAAATAAATATTATGATCTATTTATGAACATAATTTTTAATATATATATATACACACGATATGCAATTTCTAAAGTGCATATATGCTGCAAAAATAAAAAGAAAGGATAAGATATTAATTTTAGAAAGCAAGACAATATGATCATAAATAACAAATTAAACAATATGAACTGAATTCAACTCGATTTCATTTCAAGTTTGTCATGAATATTGTTTGCTTCCCATTTCCATGGTGTTAATGAGCTTCATATACACAACCAAAAGCAAATTTACAAGATAGCAATTTATAAAGCTGACAAGTTGAGAATGTTTATGCAGTGAAATAAAGGCTTTACCTTTGCCCCTTTTCACTCCATAGAGTCTGTTACTCTATTCTGTTTATCCATATCTTCCACAGGAACCTACTACTTGACAGTGCCGTTGGTGCTAATATGGTTTGCATTTATAACTTTAAGGGAAGAAGACGAGCCAAGGTCAAAGGGTCCCAACGACTCCGTCTGCATCACATTCCATTAAAAATTATAGTAAATATAAATAATAAGATGCTTTAAAAATGGCATCATTAAAAATTATCGGCATGGTGAGAAAAATAATTCAATATGTAAAGTTCAGTAAGCAAAATAGAAAAATTGAAAGCACGGTAAGTAAAATAGGAGAGCGAGTATAGTTTAGTCAAGAACGGTGTAATTTACCCTTATTTATAAAAGGAAAATATGAAATAATTAGTTCTACCCGCCAAAGTTGGTTGATTCATTGAACAACAAACTTATGAGAAGAAAAAGAAAATCTACATTCCTTGTTAACACAGCCCGGTCGCATTGAAAATGGAGTAGAGCAAATTGAATTCTGTTAATAAATTCCAAACCAAGGTCGGCTAGTTAAGCCACTTCCCTTTTATGTTTTTTTTCACATTCCAATATACTTTCTTGAGTGTTACTATGTCACTTAGCAATCACCGGATCATGCATCGATTCACCGCGATCGTCGTCTGAGAGAGGACATTATTACAGCAGTAGTTATGGGATGTGTTCAAGGCAAGTATATTTCAACGTACTCTCCGTCTAGGTGACTCAAAGAGGACAAACAAGAACATGGTTACATTAAGAGAAGGAGCGAAGTGCAGAAGTTTTCATCGGGAGCGAAGGATGAAGGCGATGATAAGAGCCTCGGTCTGGCCCCTAGGATGGTCGGAAATGGACTGAACGTGGTTGATAGGGAAGGGGAGACGTTGAGGAGTAATGATGATAATGAGAATGTTCCGCAACGGAATGAGTCGAGGAAAATGGCTTGTTGATAATGTTCCTTTTGAGGTTGTCTGGTTTGGTTCCAAAGAGTGTTGATTCCTATGATAAGCTTGCCAAGGTAAGTATGTCTTCCATGGCTTTGATGATTAGAGATATTTGGTTTCCAATTAAATGTGGTATCAAACCGCTCGTATTCGAATCTCCGAGAAAATGAGTATTAAATCGACAATTATTCGATCCGGTTATGCAGGTAGGCCAAGGAACATACAACAATGTGTACAAAGCTCGAGACAAGGATACCGGAAAGATCGTTGCGTTAAAGAAGGTTCGTTTCAACACTGCAGAGCCTGAGAGTGTTAAATTCATGGCAAGAGAGATTATGATACTTCAGAAGCTGAACCATCCGAATATTATCAGGCTTGAAGGATTAGCTACTTCAAGGATGCAGTACAGTCTTTATCTGGTCTTTGATTTCATTCAGTAAGACTTAACCAAAGTTATCTCCCGGCCTGGCGAGCGGCTCACCGAACCTCATGTTTGAACTTCGAATCTATGTTGCTCCGACATCATTTTTTCCCGAAGTACTATGATCTAATATTTGTGTCTAATACATGAGTACCATATATTATGATGCAGATCAAGTGTTACATGCAAAAACTGCTATCAGGACTGGCGTACTATCATGAAAGAGGGATATTGCACCGAGACATCAAAGGTTCAAACCTGTTGATAGATAGGAATGGGGTGCTGAAAATTGCGGATTTCGGGCTTGCCAATACTTTCAACTCGAAATCGAAGCGACCTCTTACGAGCCAAATCGTAACACTTTGGTATAGAGCTCCGGAGTTGCTATTAGGATCCACAGATTATGGTGCTGGGATTGATCTCTGCAGGTTGCCTTTTAGCTGAGATGTTTGCTGGAAGACCTACTATGCCTGGAAGGGCTGAGGTACACCCATCATTTCTACTTAAGTCCGTTTGATAATACTTTTTAAAAGTACTTTTAACTAAAAATCTCGTTTTGATCATAAAATCAATATTAAATGAGTCAAAAATGAATTTTTTTTAGGTAAAAATAGTGATTTCAAACTAATCGCAAAAGTTAAGATATCTATTTTTTTCAATTTCAATTATAATTTTACTTTTATTAATGCATGGGCTCCACTTAGTTATGTATTTATATTTTATTTTAATAATTTAATACTAACATCCTTAAAAAATAATTTATTACTTTTAATAATTTAAAAATAAATAAATTTCATGATTTATATATTAAAATATTAATAGTGAATTATATTAAAAAATATATTTTTTATTATAATTATATTTTTTTTTTAGTTTTTATATTTTTATTATAGTTTAAATTTATATATAATAATATTTTTCTTGAATTTATTAATGTTTAAGTTGATATGATTCATATATAATAATATTTTTTCAATTTATTAATGTTTAAGTTGATATGATTCATATATAACAATATATTTTTGAATTTATGATAGTTTAAGTTGATATATATGATTCATATAAAGTGTAAATATAATTTAAATGTTATATTTTTAATTTACAACATAATGTCTATAATGGACTCTTTATCTTTTTAAATTCACTTTTTAACAATAATTCTAAACAATTAAATTTCAAGCTATAATTTTATACAATAATTTTGAAAGTTCGTTTCTAGGACACTTTTAAAATTCTTTTTTTTTTTGAAAGTTTACCAAACTCGCCCTAATATTAAGAAAATATGACTTTATTATGACCTTTGAAATATATATATATATATATGACACTTGAGTACGAGTAACATAAGTTTAAATACCAATTACTGAATAGATTATTAGATTATTGTCATGAATGCATTTGAACATCCTCTAAAAGAATAAAAAAAACAAACAAAGCATAATGCTAATTAACCTCACGCCATTTTTTTCACTTTTAACTCCCAACATTTCATTTTTTATCAAAATGAACTTTGTTGGATAGAAATTATTAGTTGATTATTGGTAATTAACACATATTATTGACGCGATATTTTCATATGTAATAAATTGATGACATGTCATATGTTCATCATCTAAGGTGATGATATGTCATATACTATGTCACATAAGGTGATTACATATCATGTATCACGTCACCCTAGATGATGACATGCTATGTGCTATATTAATAATTAAGTACATGTGGAAGTGTCATGTCTGTAACATGCGTCGATCAACTAACGATTTTCATCCAGTATAAACTATTTGAGCAAGAATTGAAATATTAAGACTAAAATGCTTAAAAATAATAGGGGTTAAAGTGACCTTTCCATTGGAAGCTAATTGACATTATACCATGGGGGGGGGCAATTTTCATTCATCTATATGTGCTTTTGCAGCAATGCAGTATCTCAACTGCATACTAAAATTGTATGTTACTCGGATTTGGATGTATGATAGTGTTACCGCTGACAAGTTAAGCTTGTGATTAGGTTGAGCAGCTTCATCGAATTTTCAAGCTCTGTGGTTCACCCTCAGAGGATTACTGGAAGAAGATGAAGCTACCAGCAAGCTTTCGCCCACCGCAGCATTACAAGCCTGGATATCAAGAAGCATTTGGAGACTTCCCAGGTTCTTCATTTGAGCTCCTCGTAATGCTTCTTAATCTGGACCCATCTTATCGTGGCATTGCGGCCTCTGCTCTTCAAACTGAAGTAAGCTAAAAATCGGCACCACTCTCTACACAAGAAAACCCTAATCATGACCAGATGCTTCGTTTCATCTTTTGTGTTTGCAGTTCTTTTCTTCAATTCCATTGGCATGTAGCCTTTCAGATCTACCAGTGATATACAAAGAGGAAGATGAGCCACATAAAACCAAAGATCGAAAGAAGTATGTTAGCTTTTTAAGTATTGAGAATTAGCTTTCCCAGCAAACTAACAAGTTCTTTAATGGTGATATTGAAGGCACAGAACATCAAAAACAAAGCAAACTTCCGGGAAGAAACATGGAAATCATGAGACAAAGGACTTAACAACAACAGATCAAAACAAAGATGATCCCGATACTTCCATGGAGATAAATGTTAGTTGGTCTTTTATGTTTGATAAAAGAACTAAATAGTTAATTTGTAACCTCCAACACCCGGCCAGGACGTTATTCTCATGTCTAGGTGATTACTTATAATATTCAGAAATTCTTTTTATATTTAAAACAATGTTGAAATCCATGTCTCAGTAATATGTGAAATTTTTCCATAATAAGGATTCATACGATAAACATATATTAATACATATTTTAGAAAACCATATAAAACACATATATATCAAAATATCACAGAAAACCTTATAAGACATTTACGGAACAAAATATCAGTAATACGAATATATCCAATACTATAGCAAAACACATGCCACCAAATACAACTGAAAATATATAGAGATGTACGTTTGTACGAAGTAAAAGTTGTTGATCTCCCTTGATGTCAAATCTGCTAGATTGCGGTTTGTTGTTATCTGAAAATGTTAAAATTTAAAGAATGAGCTAAAAAGCCCAGTGTGTTTCATACAGTGTAAAAAACATACTGATAAAATATTTCGGTAAAATTGGTTTATGCAACATGTTTTAAAAACATGAACACTACCCCATCATTTCG